GAAAGAAGGAAAACAAAACCAAACCTCCCTTGGTTCAGTTTCCTCCTCCAGCTAACACCTTATTTCCTCATCCCTTCATAATCTAACTTCTCTAAAGAACTGTGACTACTGTTTCCAATTCCTTGCGACAGCCCCACCTCTCCTATGCTGCTCTTGCTAAGGAATCCAGCACCCTCCCCGGTGCTGAGCCCAGATGACTCCCATCTCTCGTGCATGTCTCCTGGATGCCCTCCCCTCTCTCCCAGTGGCCCCCCTGGGCAGCTCCTCACCCACTGTTTGTTCCTCCAGAACCAGTCCTTGGCCACTTCCCTTGTTGCATCTTCTCCCTGAAAGCTCTCACCTGCTTCTGTGGTTTCCTGTGCCATCTACCTACCAACAATTTCTCAGTTGACAGCTCTTTCCAGTTTACCTGTCTCCTGAGGTCCAGAATCATAATCAACCCCCCGGAACTCTCTGCATGACACCCTCCAGATTCCTCAGACCCAGCATTTCCAAACCCATGTTCATACACATCTTCGTACACGTTTGTCCCCAAAATCTGCCTCTCCTACTGAACCTGGGGATGGAACCATCACCCACCCCAAAACTAGCCAGGAATACGGAATGTCGTTTTCTCCATTGTTTATATCAATATGAAGAGGGATGTCCTGTGGAGGCAGCCCCTCCCCTCTGCAGGCCCACTGAGTGATTTTTACCTTGAAATTAGCAAACCAGAGTGAAAAGAGCCAGATGTAGCAGGTCATGGGAGGAGACTCTGCCACAGAGTTCTCCAAATCTAGTACTCAAGGATTCCATACCCAGGCACTGACAGGGCTGCCCGCCACTGAGCCTCCTCTTCCTGGGTCTCAGATGCCCACATTTTAAAATTGATATAAAAAATGCATTCCTCCTGTTTACAGTCCAGTCTTATGGCTCTCTTTTGATGAGTTTTGCCAGATTCTGCTCTGATCCAGCTGTGTTGATGCCTCCAATTAACAGAGCTCCAAGGGCAATCTTTCTTTCCTTCTCCTGCTACATGGAGGGGCCCTCGCTGACCCTCACATCTGGCTACGGTGGAGGTCTCGATGCCTCTCTCTCCTGTGCCCACCCATGCCAAGACCTGGCCTGCTCTACCTTCCACTTCCCTCCAGCCCACTGGCTCACTCCCCAACACAAGGTGGAGGCCTGGATCACCTCCACCCTAGCCTCCCTGCCTCCTATTTGCCCTCTGTCAGTCTGTTTACCACCCTGAAGCCAAAGTGATCTTTCTAAAACATAAGTCTAAGCTTGTCTCTCCCTTGCTTAAATTCCTTCCATCGTTCCCCATCATCCTCAGAATAAGGTAAAGCCTTTTGACCTGGCCTCAAGGATCTGTGTGACATCCCTGTCCACCTCCAGCTTCATCCTCTCCATTCTGTCCTCCCTGTCACCACTGCAGAACTGCTCAGCTACTAACACAGGTATGTCCTAGACCCCAAAAGACAATTTAATTTCCTAAACACACTGCTTTTTCCAGGCTGTGTGCCTTTCTGCACAGATAGCACCTTCTGCCTTTTCTTCTGCACTTCCTGCCACAGGTTTCTACCTCCAGATCTTTGAGGATGTGCCTCATCATCACCTCCCTGGACCTCCCTGACTCCTCACGCTGAGAGGAGCCCTTCTCTAGGCCTAAGGGTTGGTAACACTTGTCCTGTGTTATTCATCTCTCCTACAGACCTAGTTCCTCTGAGGCAACCTCTTTGTCTTGATTCTTCATCCTCTGGCCTCAGCATAGGACCAGACCCAGAGTTGTTGATCAGACACTGCTGGTTGCTTAGGAAAGAGGGACCGTATCTGGCTCACAAAGACTGGGTTGATTTGAGAAGAAGGAAGGTGATGAAGAAAGCAAATGCCCCAGGGTGTTTTGTAGCAAGAATCCCTCCACAATGATTTAATACCTGACGTTTATCTGCCCAAAATGCCTATACTTTATCTCTTTCTAACCCCTTCTAACCCAGTAAGGTAAAAATGATTATCTCCACTTTGTTGACAGGGAAACAGAAGCACAGAGAGGTAAAGTGTCTTAGCTAACCAGGCACAGCAAAGGCCTGTGATCAATGTTTACTGAATGAAAATGAGCCACAGCCCTGTCTTCACTACACAGTACAAGGTCAAGGGCACTGTCACAGCAAACGGCATCGCTGGGAAAGAGGCCTCTGCAGTCTCAGAGAATCTCATTTCCTTGGTCTGGGAGCTGACATTCTACACACACACACACACACACACACACACACACACCAGATTTGTTGGCTTCTTTCAAGGGTTCCAACCTCAGGCCAGCAATACAGCTGAGCACCTACTACATGCAAAGTCCTCCCTGGTTCCTAGACTGGAATGAGGGGGACCCTGGAAGAATAGGACATGTCCCCATCTCCAGAAGACACATTCTGAGAATTGAGGAGGATGACAGGTAGATGCTACCAAGGCCTCCAGACTGTAATTGGACACCAAGAAGGAGAAATTAATCCTGATGGACAGCTCTTCCCCGCCCCCAGTCCCTTTACCCACTAGTTTTCCTCCCCCTCCTACTCCCATCATTGCTGGGCCTAAGAATCAACTTTGCAGTAACCTTTTATGGACTCACAATGTTATGAATTAAAATGCAGAAGTCCTGGGCCCAGTCTTGACCTAACTCCTGAGCTACTAAACAGACGTAGACAAATACTTTGCACCCTCTGAACTTCAATGTCCTCGTTTTTACATTAGGGAAAATAATCCCCTCTCTGCCCTCCCCATTTCTCAAGTTCAGGTATGAATCCAAGGGAGAAGAGAGGCGCCACACCCTGGAGGACTGCAGAAGTTGTGTTTGCAATGGTTCCCCAGGAAACCTTTGTAGTTCTCACAAGTAGTCACCCCTCCAGCCTTTGTTGCTCAACCTGATGCCAAGGGAAGGCCCTTCAGACAGTTGTGTTAGAGCCAAGAAGCCAAAGCTAGGCTGTGTTCCAGGCCCTCTGCATACTCTCAAGGTGGGGGTGGGGGCCGTTGGGGGAAAGAAAACAGCCAGTTCTGACCTGGAGGTGAAGGTGCAAGGTCCCTGTCCTAAAGAAGCCCCTGGCTGAGGGCAAACACAATTTGACGAAGGCAGGTAGAAGTGGAAAGGGAACAAGAAGAAAGGGAGAAAGTTCTCTCTAAATACCTCTTGTACCGCTTTAGTGTCAGACCTCAACCTTCCCTTGGCCCTCCTGTGTACTTAGCAAACCCTCTCCCAAGCCTTCCTGGTCCCTGTGCTTTTCTTTTCCATCATGCTTTCTCCTCTGTGGATACTCTCCCTACTCTCCAACATTCACTACTGGTTCATTCAGTGATGCCTACACTACACTAGGCTTTATGCTGAACCCTGAGGGTACAGGGATGAATCAGATCAGATCTCCATCCTCCAGAAGCCACAGCCTAGTGGGGAAGATGAACAGGTAAACAGAAGACAACAACCCAACAGGACAAGTGCTGAGACAAAAAGAATGGGGCTAAGGCAGAATCCTGGGGAGGAACCTCGCCCAGCTCTGGAGCAAGGCTCTGGTGTCTGTTTTCCCCTCAGACTATAAGCTCTTTGAACCCCAGGCCTAGGTCTGATTCATCTCTCTGACCTACCCTTTCCTTTCCTGGATGTCTTCCGGATGCATGTTACAGGGTTATCTGTCAGGGCAAGAATAAGCCTAGAGGTCAAGCTCATTTCTAGCGTCAATCAAGGAAGAGAAGCAGTGCCCCCCGCCGAGACTGAGAATGAGGAAAGTGGGTTCAGGAGGTAGAAGAAGGAACTTGCCTCACTCTGAGCCTCAATCTCTGGCATCTCAGCCGGGTGCGGTGGCTCACGCCTATAATCCCAGCACCTTGGGAGGCCGAGGCAGGTGGATCACTTGAGGTCAGGAGTTTGAGACCAGCCTGCCCAACATAGTGAAACCCCATCTCTACAAAGTGAAAACATTAGCCAGGTGTGGTGGCACATGCCTATGGTCCCAGCTACTTGGGAGGCTGAGGCACGAGAATTGCTTGAACCTGGGAGGCAGAGGTTGCAGTGAGCCAAGATTGCGCCATTGCACCTCAGCCTGGGAGACACAGCAAAACTCCCCATCTCAAAAAAAAAAAAAAAAAGAAAGAAAGAAAGAAAGAAAAGTCTCTGGCATCTCTACCTGGGTTCCCCAAGCTGGCTGCAGATCAAAACACTAACACTTAGACAGGTTTTTAAATGTAAACTCCTAGCTCCAATCTGACAAATTAGAATCTCCAGGGATTGGAGGTCCAGGAATTTGCTTCTCCCAGTTGATTCCAATTCCCTGCCCTGTGTCTAATTAGAAACCTCTGGTCTAGATCCCCATGACAGTAGGAAACTAAGAGGTCTTCCTAAGAGCAGGGGCTAAGGTAGTTTTCACCCTGGAGTAATAGGAGTTACTCAGTTCCTGGAGTAACAGGAAGATGAACCATGATCTGAACCTGGGAAGGTATCACAGCTCCTGAGCCACCCATAGGCATGGCCGGGAGAGCCCTGCCTTTGGGGACACCAACCACCTAGACACTCGGTGAAGCCTGTCATGTGGTGGTACTCATCTTCATGCTCCCTCTCATTTCCTGCCTTATAAATGGAAATCTTTACACTACACACAACAACGCGGATGCTGACTGAGCTCTCAACGGATTGCCTACTTCTATGGACTATTCAGAGGTTTTGGATTTCTGCCATTGCCTTTCTGTCACTGCTGAGCCTTTAGCAGAACCTGGTCCGAACTTCGGGCCTCAGAATGAAGAGAAGGCGTCTGTGGCATGCTTGAGCCCTGACTTGGAAGTTGCCCCCACTTCTGAAGTCAGCTTGAAAGGCTGGAGTGAAGGAGAAATTCCAGTGGGAAAGCTGAATGGAAGCCATGGATCCCAGGACATCATCCCCCTGCCCAAGTTTGAAGTCTCTCTCCACAGCACCCTAGGAATTAGACCTGATTCTCTGAAAGAAGGGAGGATGTTTTCTTTCTCCCCAACCCCCGACCTCCACATACCTCCAGGGCATGTCCAAAGAGCCAGTGAGTTGGAGGCCCTGGGAAGTTGCCCATAGCCTTAGCCAACCTCTGCCTCCGCAGCAGCAGGCGGATGAGCTTGAGAAAGCCTAAGACCAAGATCAGCCCAGAAGCCCACAGGCCCAAGCAGGAGAGTCTCAGGGAGAGGAAGCTGGGCACCATGGCTGGAGCTCCAGTCACCCAGCCTTCGTTCGACTTGCCTCCAGCTGCTCCTGGTTTCCTTTATACTCTGGACCTATGCATCCTGTCAGCTCCTAGCCCCAGCCACTCCCTGAAGCCAGCAGCAGCCAAGACTGGGCTGAGTGCCATAAGGCGGAGACAGCAACCCCCAAAGCCACAAACAACAGAAGAGAGAGCCTAGTGGCCTTCTCCCAAAATTCAGCTAAAGAGAAACCTAATAGTGAACTCCAAAAAAAAGCAGGCAATGGGCATCCCACCTTGATTCCTTAAAACAAACAGATGGCAATTCTTGGTGTAATCATCAGCATAATAACCACTGCCTTCTCATACAAGCACTGTGAATGTTTCAGGCACTTTTTACATACTATCTCATTTAACCCAAACAGCAAAGGAGGTCAGAGGCACTCACATTTTATACCCATTTCCCAGATAATGAAGCAGAGGCTCAGCTTGCCTACGCTTTCTCTCAAGAAAGCTTCCAGTGTCCCCTTCAATATGAACCCTTGAGAGAGCTAGCACTTATGCTAGGCTCGCAATGCTTTGAATTCTTTTTTGTGAGTCACCTTCAGAGACAAGGTTCTAGCCCCAAAAGGGAAATACCAGGTCAGAAAGGGGCCAACTCCACCCCTAAAACAATAGTGCCATTTTGACACTTAGAAACATAGAACTTTCAGGGTGATGAGAAGAAGTCATGAAATTCAGTCCCTCCTGGCTGGATGGAAGCACTTAGGCTCAAAGAAAGGCAGAGAAATATCCAAAGTTGCACAGCAAGACAGTGGCAGCACCCAATGCCACAGCCCAGGCTCAGGTCACTGCCTTGCCTGGGGAGGGTATGCTACCCAAAGAGGCAGGCAGATTTAAGAAATCAAACAAGATATGATGTGGCATGCAGAAACTAGAAACAACAAGAAATGCATCAATACCCCAAGACTAAAGGAACAAGGGAAGGAAATCATGCTCCTGTAGCTTGGTGGGAGTTGTATTTATGGGGAACACAGTCAGTGCCAGAGAAGTGATGCTGGAACAGGGAAAGAACGGAGCAAAAATGTCCTAAACTCTTTCATCTCCCATCCCCAATCTCTTACTAGTGTCTCCAATCAGCCAAGCCAATCAGAAGTGAAATGGCAAGGAGCCTGGGGAGTCAGTCTGCAGAAGTCAGCCTCCCAGCAGAGATAAGAGCAAGAATCTGTAAGTTCCTTATAGATTCTGGACATTAGTCCTTTGTTGGATGCATAGCTTGAAAATATTTCTCCCATTCTGTAGGTTGTCTGCTTACTCTGTTGATAGTTTTTTGGCAAGGAGGTGGCAGGAAAAAACCAGCAATCAGGTGGACTTGGATCTCAAATCTCAGAACTCAGATAACAGGTTCTAATTCAAAGAATGATAAGCCATCAACATGGATTCCTTGTCCCCTCTGGCACAGGAAACCAAGCCTCCTCCTCTGCTGGGGAGACATCATGTCCAATCTTACCCATAGGCAGAGAAAGCAAGAAGAGAGTACAATGAAAGAACTCCAAAAGTGTCTTCTCCATCGGTCTGTCACACTTCCTGAAATTTCACATTTGTGCTTTATTTTATTGGATTGAGACATTGAGTGCGCCATTTAAAAAGCAAGTCACTCAAGTCAGAGAATAAAGGAACATGATGAGCTATCAGCAAAATTCCATTCTTTATGGTGAATTCATTTATCAGCATAGTTTCATCCTGGTCATATGATGGAGTGTTTTGAGGAGAGCCTGAATGGGCTACCACCTGGTGAAAGAGCCATGGCTCCTGGCAAGGACCACATAGGATTCACCTGGAAAGTGAATAGGGTTAGCTTAGAAGATGTCGAGTGAGTAGAGTGGACGTTGGTTGAATGACTCCCCAGCAATCTGTTCCTTGCTTCCCCCTTCCACCCAGTACCATGAATTTACAAGCTTTGGGGTGCATTCTGAGTGCCCTCACCCTCAACTCCAATATGGGCTTATATTTATTTAACACAGTCTGCATTCATCTTGCCCACAGTAATTGATTGTTTCAAGAATAGGCACATGACCACAGTCAGCCGATCAGGACAAATGAAATTCTATTTCCAGTATTTAATTTAAGCTATCTTGAAACAGATTATCTCTTCAATATTGAAGTCGATCCTAAAGCATGTAATCTCAGAAGCCATCAATGTGGGAAGAGGCAGACAAGAATGTACTCAACACTATAGCAACAGAACTGAGAAACATACCAAGAGGAACTAAATATCAGTTACATTGTTTGAACTCCTGGATCAAGCTTCACCTGAAGCTAGAATTACCTTTTACATTTTATTTTATTTTATTTTATTTTATTTTACTTTATTTTATTTTATTTTATTTTTTAGACTCAGGGGATACATGTGCAGATTTGTTACATGGCTATATTGTATGATGCTGAAGTTTGGGCTTCAGTTGAACCCATCACCCAAATAGTGAACATAGTACCCAATAGGAAGTTTTTCAACCCTTGCCACTCTTCTTCCCTCCCCACCTTCGGGGTCCCCAGTGGCTATTGTTTCCATCTTTATGTCCATTTGTACCCAGTGTTTAGCTCCCACCAATAAGTGAGAACATGCAGTTTTCTGTTTCTGCATTACTTCACTTAGGAAAGTGACCTCCAGCTGCATCCATGTTGCCACAGAAGACATGATTTCATTCTTTGTTATGGCTGTGTAGTATTCCACAGTGTATATGTACTACATTTTCTTATCTGACCCCACTGCTGATGGGCACCTAGGTGGATTCTGTGAGTCTTTGCTATTACAGATAGTGCTGCAATAAACATGCGAGTGGAGGTATATTTTTGGTAGAACAATTTATTTTCCTTTGGGATTATTGGGTCAAATGGTAATTCTATTTTCAGTTCTCTGAGAAGTCTCCAACTGCTTTCCACAGTGGCTGAACTAATTTACATTTCCACCAACAGTGTGTAAGTGTTCCCTTTTCTCTACAGCCTTGCCAACACCTGTTATTTTGTGAGTTTTTAGTAATAGCCATTTTGACTGGTATGAGATGGCATCTCATTGCGGTTTTGATTTGCATTTCTCTGATGATTAGTGATGATAAGCATTTTTTCATATGCTTCTCAGTTAGTTGTGTATCTTCTTTTGAAAAGTGCCTGTTCACATCCTTTGCCCACTTTTTAATGGGATTGTTTACTGTTGACTTAAGTTCCTTATAGATTCTGGATATTAGTCCTTTGTTGGATGCATAGCTTGAAAATATTTCTCCCATTCTGTAAGTTGTCTGCTTACTCTGCTGATAGCTTTTTTTGTTTTTGTTTTTGTTTTGTTTTTGAGATGGGGTCTTACTCTGTCACCCAGGCTGGCGTGCAGTGGCACAATCTCAGCTCACTGTAAGCTCTGCCTCCCAGGTTCATGCCATTCTCCTGCCTCAGCCTCCCAAGTAGCTGGGATTACAGGCGCTGTCCACCACACCTGGCTAATTTTTTGTGTTTTTAGTAGAGACGGTGTTTCACTGTGTTAGCCAGGATGGTCTACATCTCCTGACTTCGTGATTCCCCCACCTCAGCCTCCCAAAGTGCTAGGATTACAGGCTTGAGCCACCACGCCCAGCCATTGATAGTTTCTTTTGCTGTTTATTTAGTTTATTTAGGTCCCAATTGTCAATTTTTGTTTTTGTTGCATTTACTTTTGAGGATTTAGTCATGAATGCTTTGCCCAGGCCAATGCTTTGACTCTTTTTATTACATGAGCCAACAAAACCTCTTTGTTTAAATTCAATCTGAGTTGGTTTTTCTGCTGCTTGAAACCAAAGTATTTCTATGTGACATACTAGTGAAAACCCGGGAAAATGGGAAAGCCTTGGTTAAGTTGGGCTGAAACATATTTAGGGGGTTAGCTTGGAACAAACTGAATGAAATTAACCTGGGAAGGGACAAGTGGGATTATGTTGGTACATTTTGAGCAGTGGGGCTTGCCCAGGAAATACTGAGGGGGTTCATAGAGAAGTTCTAAGTGATATTATCCTGGGCAAAGTTCCCATAAGATAAGAGCAAGCAATGATCTGGATATGGTGAAAGTGAGGGGCTTAGTTTGGAGAAGAAACAGATATCTGAGACGTTATCAAGCAGAAAACACGAAGGAGAGGAACATGTCAGGAAACTGGAGTGTCAAGAGCAGGGTTAGCACGGAGCTTCAATAGGTGGGTAAGGAGACTAAACTTTGTCTTCTAGGCTGCAGGGGGCCATGGAGAGGGCCTAAGGCAGAGGGACAAGAGTTATCAGAGGTGAGGTCCAGGAAGATCACCCCCTCTGTATGTGTGCCATGACTTGGGCTGGTAGGGGTGAGGCCTGCAGAAGGCTTGGAGAGGAGAGGAAGCTATCAATGCACTGATCTTTGTGAAAGATGACAAACCTGGACAAGGAGGTGGCAGAAGGCATGACTCAAGGCTGGTGGGGTGCAAGGGGGCTACAGCACAGCCTGGAATGGCAGACAGGGAGAGGAAGTCAGAGGGAGGATGAGCGGGGTGGATGTTGCTTGTGCCTCAGAGGTCCTACATAACTTCTCCTGCCGGAAATATAGCCCAGCACTCATGATCTATCTGTCATACACCCTGCTTTCCGCCCCTTGGCTGAAATCTGGCAGCCACCCACATTTTTAGGGCAAAAAACAAGTCATCATGTGACCAGAGCCAAAGGCTAGGTTTCTGTCAACTCCCAGGTCCTGAGCCTACTAGCTACTCACCCCTGGCCATCTTGCCAGTGTGATTTGTGGAAGCCAACATTCTTGGAAGCTTCCACTCAGTAGCCCTAGTTCTTCCCTTAAGAATCCCACAGAAAACTTCAACTATTAAAAAAAAAAAAAAAAAAAAAAAGGCCTGTAGGTGGCCCCCAGTCCATTAGTGTGCTGGAACAGGCTGGCACTGGCTCTCAAGAGCAGATTGTGTATATCACTTCCCAACTCCAGGTTTGGTGTCACATTAGCAGCTTGAAATTGGCCATGATGGGAGTATTTAACATTTACATGACAGAAATTGGCAAATGCTACAAATCCCACTTTTTCCCCTGAGAAGCCAGTTGTTAAACACTTCCCA